AGGTCATCTTTGATTTAATTTTGAGCCTTAGCTATTTCTTTACAAAATTATATCGCTAGTTAGCAGTGATTGAGCCTTTAATGTATGATCTCTTTTTCAAGAAACCCATATGCTAACCGAGCCACAAGAAAATATACTTGACATACCTTGCTATCTAATTTTCTTACACCCTCTTCAAAATCAGTATAATACAGAAAAGCAAGAGAAATAGAAAAGACGATGATGACTACTGTTCAATGAAAGAAAATTTGATGGGAACAATTGAAAAAGAAAAGAGATAGAAAACAAAAAATGGCCAAGATAGTGAAAAATGCAAAAAAATGAAAGAAAAGAAATACCATATCCAGGCAAAATTTCAAAAAGCTAGAAAGAGGTGTGCTACACTACATAAAGAAAGGGTAGCGTTTGAATACCATTGACGTCATTTCGTTAGCCACTGACCTCTGGCCACATTACAACCTATAAAAAGCCCTAGTTGATCTCATGTCTGATGCATGTGAAGGTCATCGACTAAAAGTTGGGGTATGTTAAATAGTATTTCTTTATTTGCGTCAATATTCTTACATGAGATTATGCCAAACATGATTAGTTTGTTCCTCAGATTTCAATCCTGTGCTAATTGTGCATGTGATTTTTTCGATTGGCCATCTTCAAATCACGTGCCTTTCGTGAGATAGGTCACTATAATTAGAGCGATATTTTTTTGATTGAGAGCACTCTAAGAAAGGTTTGTGAAATCAAAGCTATCTATGGGAGGTGGTAAAGTGGAATATTTTTTATATAACGATTCTTGTTCCTAGAATGATCATTTCTACTACACAGGGAATTCCAAATGCCAAGGTGACAAATGCTAATTTTTGTATAGAATCAATACCTATGAAAGAGGAATCTATGGGATATAAGTCGAGATTGAGGGTTGGGTGTCCCAACGACCATGATGCTAACTCACTTTAACCAACAAACTCATGTACACATCTGTTTGACTAAAGTTTGTGGGTAGCTTCACTGAAAATCCTCACGAGACAACACTCGTACACTAGGGTAAACCTGGTGGTTAGGCTTGTTGCATATGCTAAATGCAACCGGATGACCTACGAAAATGGTACTTTAAATAAATTCACATTCAATTGTTGTTGCATTGTTGGAGACTAGCAATATTTCGGTTGGGAGTGTGATTAGTAGTTAAAATTAGCATATCACTATGCATTTTTTAAGACTAATTATACTTTGATGGAGTTTAAATAATGACATTTCAGGATATAAATTGTACAAAGGGCCAAAGGCAATGAATATCAAATTTTCATGCAACACTGGCATTCCCTGGGACAAAATTGGAGAAAGTTGGAACACAGCAAGAATGTTCGAACGCCAACTCACGTTCGAACATTCCCTTGAATTATTTGAAGACCACACTGCTGAAATACTGAGACATGGTGTCTTGCAGCTAAGAAGGAAAACATTGAAGTACTTGAGTACTATGTTCGAACGCCAATCCACATTCGAACTTAGTCCTTAACTATTGAGGACTAGGCTAATGAGTGCAAGGGCAATGGTTCAAGGCATATGGAAGTAGCTCACACAGAGGAACAAAGGCTACTTGAGTAGGAGGTTCAAACTACATCTGGCATTCGAACGCCGATCAAGCAAAGACAAGAGACACGTTCAAATGCTAGACAACGTTTGAATGTTGTCCCCATACAGGCTGCAAAGTGGTTGATTTTCTCTTCGGACATTGGGACTTACACATGACTTTGAAGGCATTGTACTATTCCTCCACACTCCCCTGCTCCCTCCTATTTGCCTATAAATACTTCCATTATGGGAGCTTCAGAAAGAGGAGGATTGGAAGCTTAGACTAGACCAACATTTCTTTGCTAGTTGTAGAATTAGTCTTACACTTAGGCTTGCATTTTACTTGTATAGAGGGAGATAGATCATCTTTTGGTTGCGGTGGAAACCCTCCAAAAGTGACTAGCTTTCTTCTACATTCATTGTTAGTTTCTTTCACTTCCATTGCTTGAGCTTATTTCTTCCCTTAAAGGAGTGAAACTCTTCCACTTTTCTAGAGCTTTACTAAAGCCATGTAGGGTGAAACGTGATTCACTCATTCTTCATTGAAGATCGGCTCCGTGTGTAGTGTATTTTACCTTGTAACTCCTCTACTTTGAGGGATGAGCATCACTCAATTTTTTAGCTTTACCAAAGCCATAAAGAGTGATTAGTTTCCCATTCACTCTTTAGTAAGAGGTAATGGGCATGTATAAATCATCCAAAATTTATATTTGTGCATTTCAATTACGCTTAATGCTTTATATTTCATTTATTTACTGAATGATTGACTGCATCTAGCAAAGTTAAGTTACTTTGTATAATCATGAGTACTTTCTATAACACAGATAACTCTTGCATAGAAAGACTCATTGATTCAAGGCAAGTACCCCGGCTAGATTTTCATGACTACCCTTCAATCTTCACCATTATCGTGCTTCATTTAAAGAATGGAATATTAATTCCATGGTTGGATACCTTGTAAAAACACTTGCTTGTTTGTAGACGGGTTAAGTCTCGGCATAGACAATTCTTGTAAACTTCTAGAAAGGCATTAGAACCATGTTTTTAATTATCTCAATCCACCTTTATCTTCCGATTAACTTGATGTTGACACGAGGGGTTAATTGAGGTACCAAGCACAAGTATAATAAATCGGATGATCAACTACATGTCCACATCCTCGAACAAAAGAGTGACTATTCACATTTGAATTTATCTTATATTTTGTCTAGAAAATCTTCTTGGAAAGAATTATATATTTGGCCCAGGAAAATCTCTAAACATCATCACTATAAATCTCAAATGTTACAATCACATGGTCTCTGTCACTGCTTACTTCAAAACACCAACAATAGTTCCCTGTGAATTCGACTCCGGACTTAACCGAATTATTACTACAACTTGACCACCTGCACTTGGGTGTACACATTTCGGATCAAGTCACCGGGGCTAACTGTCATTTAAACAAATCCATTCGCATTTGAACAGACTCCACTTTTACCTAAACTTCCAAGGATGTTTTGGCATTGTTAGATGTCGATTTAGGAAATTTTTGTAAAATACAATGTTGTAACCCTTGAAATCTAGTTTCTACTATAAATATTTCAGGTCAATCAAGACATTAGGGAAAAAATTATAGCCAAAATACTAAGGTTATGTCAAATTCCTTTCTACCAAAATCCTCTCCAAAATAGGTTTTAACTCTAGAATACTTCTAAACTTCTAATACAACCCATATTACCTCTCCCAAAGTTTGTCGACCTTTCAGATTCAGTGGAGGCCTTATTTTAACCTAAAAACTTACCTAATCACCCTTCTTAATTTTAAACACCTTCCAAAACTCAATTTACCCTGAACGTAAATACCCTCGAAACTCAAACTTTATAATCAGTCTTTCAATAATGATTCTAAGTTTCTATCATCATTTTATTCATCTTAGGAGAACTCTTAAGATAATATTATCCCTCTTTAATTTTGATACAAGGTCTTACAACCCAAATTAAACCTTTCCTCTGTCACCTTTGACCTCTCTCTTGGAGCCTATAACTAGGCTAGTTCAACCATTTTGATGGAGAACTTCACCAGAGAAAGAAAGCTAAATCCAAAGAAGAAGAAAACCTATCCTAAAGAATCCTAAGACAAAGATTCTCTTCTTGTACATTTCTTTTACATCCTTTTTACTTGGAGGGTTAAACTCTCTCACTTTTGTACCTTAGCTGGTAATAAGACTGAGCGTGTTTCAACTATTCCTTGGGGAAGGATTGTTGCATTGGTTTTTGTATTTGTGTTACGTTGTAATGAGATTATTTCATCCTTCTTGGTCTTCTATAGCAATGAAGTGTGTGTAGTTTATTTATACTCTTTAGTGAATGGTGAAGACATGTGTAATGTTTATACCTCCCTTAAATGATAGATGGTTATTATTTTCATTCAGTTTTGTATTACTATATGCTCATGGTTACGAGCACTGAGCTAACCTTTTTGTTATATATTAGTTCATCTTTATGTTATTATGTACTTTATACATGATACAATGATGCATGTAGTTAGGCTTTACATAATAGTTGGGAGATTGGTTATAGACAGGTTAAATCTTGCCATAGCCAATACTTTTGATTCAATGCATAAACTAGAACCTCATCTTCATTGAATCATCAAGTTGCCAATCAAATAGCTAAAGTAAACCTTTTGAAAGGTTCACCCTTGGGTTTACTAGGATTATTTGGTTGTTGTACGGTGCATAGACCTTCCGACTAACCTAACCAGTTATAGTGATATGGTTCAATCTATACATCAAACCTACCAGTTAACTTTCCAATAATATGGGAGTTGATTGCTATAAAGTGGCATTTTCATAATCAAGCAATAAAATGCATGTTGGATCATTGAACTAAAGAGTAGCCCTTCTTCAATTACTGTAATCAAAAGTTTAGTTTAAGTATTTGTTTATCAGTTCTAAGTTCACACCACAAGCTGTTGTAATTTACACTACGCGCACGATAATCTTACCTTTTCTATTTTGAATTCTAGCAGATAGCTTCCTATTGGTTTGACCTCAGACTTCACCGAAAAATATTATAACTTGACTACTTATACTTGAGTGTATGATTTGAATTAGGTCAGTTTTGGAGGGAGAACATGATGGTCGGATGATAGACTTCTATGGCGTGATCATTGAAGTTATTGAGTTAGAATATCTACTTGGGCATAATCGAGTTATGTTATTCAAGTGTGATTGGTGGGATGTAAAGGACAATGCAGGCATCCAAATACATAAGAATTGGAAGATTACTAGTGTAAATGTATCATAAAATTGGCATAAGGACCAACCAATTGTGATTTCCTCTCAAGCAAAACAAGTTTTTTATATTGAAGATTTAAAGTTATGGAAAAATTGGCACATTATAGAGAGGACTTAACCTCGGGAGTGTTTTGATGTTCCTGAATAGTTTGAAGAACAATCGATTTCTGGTGAGGTGCCTTACCAAGAATATGTGCTTGATGAGGTTTTTGATTCAATGGAAATTGATGAAATGCCATCATTAGAAAGAGATGATACGATCCCATTAGAACGTACTGATGTAGATAATATATTGCGTGACCAAACACTGGAAAATGTAGATGAAGAACATGAAAACTTCATTAATGACAATGATATTGAGGAAGATTCCTATAGTGATGATACTGACAAAGATGATAAATTCATTAATGATGAATGTGACTTTGACTAACAGTAAGATTTCAGTGTAATTCACTTTATACTAGGGAAATTTTACACTGTTGCGATACGTGTATTTCAATTATACACACACACACATATATATATGTGCATAACCATTTTTATTTATGTAATTGATATTCATTTTTTGTATTATTTTGTTGCTTCATTGCACACATGTGGCCAAATCGAGGAAACAAGGAGCTGCTAGGTGTGGTGGAGGAGAATTATCATTACTACTTTCAGTTTCATTACCATCTGATAAACTGACATAGGTTGGTGCTAATGGTTGTACATCGACACTCGCACGAGAGTTTCATGGTTCTACGAGTGTGCATACTGTTTCTTTGCCAGAGGGACATGTCGAACATAAAGTTGGTATGTTTGTTTAATGGAATTATGTTAAATATTGTTCAAAATATTGACTTATAGAAGCAGCATTTTTTATTTTTTCTTGAATTGCCTTTATGTTTTAATTTTTATCAAAAAATTAGTTTCTCAACAAAATAATCTACCAACATTAACACTTTATCTTCAAAGTCATCCCCAGCAAGGAGAAAACTAGTACCAACCCGAAATATTGCGCTTGCCAAAAAAAAAAAAGCAAGACGGCAAGAAGCTTAATGTCGAGATGCCTAAAGATCTTTGGTGAATAGTAGGATTGGAATGCCAACCACTTATAATAGAGTTAGGGTGTATTGTTCGGAAGCATGCACCTTTTCAAGTGACAAAATGGGCAAAGATTGACAAAGATGATCGAGAGAGTTTACTTCAAATTGCCAAGGTAAATGCTTTTCCAAGTACTCAAATATTTCAACTAGACTATGTATGTTAATGTATTGAGAGAAAGGGTAAATGTAACAAATTCTACCTGAGAAATGCATGTTAACCAAAAAGGTCATTGAGCGGAAGATATGACAGTTGTATAGCATAAAGGAGTATATTGAGTTGAATAGAGGTTGCAATTGAACTACCCCTACATGAACTCTCCCACTATTAAGAATTGAAGCACAAACTAAGCAAGTAACAAAGTTCTGTTCGGGAATCACAAGGCATCTTTTTAAGCATTGCCTCATTACTAAATGATAGCACAACAAAATTTTGAAGGATATGAAATGACGCAAAATTTAGGAGAAGTTGCAAGTATGAGAAAATAAACAAGGAAATAAGAGGAGGAATAGAAAACAAAACTTATTAAAAGGAGTTTCTAGTTTTTTTGGCATCCAATAAACAAAGTTACTGATTTTTTGTTTTGTAATTCAAATTATTGTTACCTTTATTTCTCACAGTGCCTTCATTGTTAATAATGTAAACAATTCACTACTTTTTTGTAGGAATCGTTCAATCTCCAGGATGGACAGGTTAAAGATATAACATTTGCCCAACTGAACACATAATATAGGAATTATTACCATAAGATACACAAGAACTACTTCTTGCTGCACCCAACGACAAAAGTAGCAATGCAACATCCACCACTAGGCGTGCCACTGGAAGATTTGGAATTGTCTTTGTTCTTTCTTTTCCTCTAATGAATTTAAGGTTTTTGAACATACAATGGATACTAAACAAAATCAACTTTCCCTTTTTTGTTTAAATTATTTCTACTGTAAGATTCTTGTTCTATTTTAATGTAGAAAATGAGTGCTCAAAATGCAAGGAATCGGGCAATGCAAAACACACCTTATGTAACTAGGACAAAGTTTTTTGCCCGAGTGGGTGTATAAATAGTAGCAACATAATTCTCAGTTATATAGTTATGATATGCTTTAAAAACTAATTCACATATTTGAATTGATGTAGACTGCTCAAGGTGGTAAAATGCTTGGGCCAATTGAGTTATATAGGATAACTCACTATAGTAATAAGAAACACTTTTGGGTGAATGACCATGCACATCATAACTATTTAAGTTATCAATTTTGTTAATATTTTCTTTCATCATCATGTTAATTGAACTAATGTAATTTAAAATTTATATACCTTGCCACTTTAGGAGCAAATGGGGAGCTTCGGTCGCAGCCCGTAGTAGAGAATGAAACACCAGTTTGTGAGGAGGAAATTTGCTTAGAGGTTCTTGGACACAAGTCAGGGTACATACGTGGTCGTGGGCATGGTCTGAAGCTTAGCCGATCCTTATCCAAGCACCACAAAAAATTAGAGTTGGAGGCAACCAACAAAAGGGCCAATGAGTTGGAAGAAAAACTCAATGCTTAACAAAAGGACATGGAAATGATTAAGGAAAACCAAAAGGTAACAAATGAGATTTTGCAAGCACCAATGGAGTACATGCAAGGGGTAACCCAAAATGAGACAAATGAGATTTTGCAAGCATTGATGAAGCAGATGCAAGATAAAAGGCACATGTATGCCTTTGTCATTGCCCTTGTGTCTGACCTCTTTCATGGTAGGTGGAATACTTGATTGATGAAAGTTTAGTTTTAATTTTTTTTTTCCTTTTTTTTTGAAGGTTTCATAAACTTTATTTTATTGCATGATAGATGGAAGCAATATTGGGCTCAACCAGGGTGATTGCAATTTAGGTCAGTGTTCTCTTTTTTACTTTTATAGGATAAATTTGAGGGTCCACAATAATTCCATTTGGAGTATTACAACTTCTGAACATGTTCTTAATACTTGATTCTACTTGCAATTATTAAATGGCTTGGGGACTTTTATGGAAGAAATTGTGCAGTATACTTGCTGATATTATGTTGCTTTGATAAATTAATTAGAGATTGATATTGTGATTGACTAGACACTTGATGACAACATAGATCCTTTAAATTAGTTTGCCATGGTTGTTAAGATTTGATGATAAGGCAATAATATGACATTTGATTTTTTTGACTTTAAGTTTGAGTTAATTATTATTGATTAGATATTCAGCTCATTATCATATTTGGAAGATTAGCTTTTATTTAGTTGATGCAATTATTTTTAGCAAAACATATATGTTTGTCAAGCATGGTGGTCTTTTTTCATAGGATTCATACTTTTTGGTGATTTATTCTTTTTTCTTTTAGTCATATAAGTATTGTTGTGCTTGTGGAGAATGGGAAGTAGTTGATGTAATGAGCCTCATGATATATACTAGAAATTGAGTATTCTTTAATGATGGTCATCTATAGTCTTTCGTGTTAAACCTCCCTTAACAATGCTAAAAGTGCTACAATACATCTTCTAAGAGTGCAAAGTGCAATACATTGTTATCAGAAATTAGGAAGACCATTTGGTTGGTTACCACTCAGTCTAAACCTTTGAAAATAAGTGTTGGAGTTGTGTTTCTTGAGTTGCATAGAGTGAAGAGAAGTTTGAGAATAAGATCTAGACATTACCAAGTTTATATTTTTATGATGACATTTTCTGCCTAAGCTTTTAATATTTTATGTGATTTAAAATTAGACAATTGGGATAGCTTTATGGTGTTTAATTTTTGCCAAGGTGGTCATCTCTGCGCCATCTTTATGAAAACAGAAGACCGTGTTCAAAGGAGCAGAATTAATCTTGAAGCACTGAGTACATTTTTTTGTCCGTCATGAAGTTTGCTTTAGATCTTCTCATGGTTATGGGAGGAACAAAGACCAATAGTTTATTGTTAATTTTTTATTTTGTTGCTTGAGGAAATTTTTTTATTGTTTTCTTTTTTTTGAAGTATTCGTCGGGTTGTTTAAAATTTTATGATAATTCCATAATTTTTTGATTTTATAATTAAAATATGATTGAATTTTGATTTGTTATGAATAAAATTGAAAGATTATGATATTTTAATATAGATCAATTTTATATAAGGTTTATGAAAGTTGTTGCAAATTATTATATGAATGAAAACCACTTAAGTCATCACTATAGAGTTTTTTAGTGACTACTATAAAATTTGTCATAAAAATACTTTAGAATTTTATAGTGACGACAGAAAATATGGTTACTAAACAACTTTTTAGTGACGATTATAAAACAGGCCATTAAAAGTAAACAAAACTTGTTAGTGACAATCAAAACATTGTCACTACCACCGATAATTTAGTGACAATAGAATTTTATCCTAATTAGAGACGAAAGTGTGAAATTGTCACTAAACATATTAGTGATAACAAAAAATTCAGTCACTAATGATAGCCGGATACTAATTAATGTCAATATATTTCGACACTAAAATATTTTTTTTTGGACTAAAAAAAATTTTTAAGTGGCAAAAACATACATTTTAGTGATGAAGGTTTACAATATTAGTGGCGACAAATTTTGTGACTATTGAGAGTGATTCAGTGATGATATATAACCATCACTAAAGATCTAGATTATTTGTGACAACTTGTGTAGCTTGTCACTATTAACTTTTAGTGACACATCTATAGTAACAACCTAGTGGCAATTTTTTTTTCCCACCAACTGCTTTTGTGATAAATTTAAGAGTTTTAGTGACGACTTTTACTGCCACTAAAGCTGCTTTTTTTGTACTTCTTAACTATTTCCTTTGAATCTTTTATCATGGTGGGCCAAAAGTAGCTTTGCCTCAGCGCTTTATAAGCTAGCTTATGAGCTAATATGTGATTTCCACAGATGCCTTCATGAATCTCTATTACCACATAAGTGGCTTCTTTTATAGTCACAAACTTTTGGAGGGGTATAGAGAATCCCCTCTTATAGAGAATTTGTTGGATCATTTTATATGTTGATGATATGCTTTATAACTTTGGTTGCTTCTTTCGAAACTTGGGGAAAAGCTTCATCCTACAAGTAGCTAATGATGGAGTCCATGCAACTCGGCTCGATGTCTACGGGTAAGACCTTTCCCGCTCATCTTGGTCAATGCAAATACTTGGTTCTTTGAGTTGTTCCACGGGGATGATGCTATTGAGGGTTCCCTGAGCTGTAGAGACTAACTTAGCCAGGGCGTCTGCTCGAGCGTTCTCAACTTGGGGTACTTGGACGACCTCAGTGTGGATGAAATTCCTTAAAGTATCTTGCACCACTTTCAAATATGAAGCCATCCTATCCTCCCTTGATTTATATTCTAATTTAATCTATCTTACCACAAGTTGAGAATCAATGTGGATTAGAAGTTGATGTGCTTACATGGAGAGTGCCAACCTAAGTCCAGCTATCAAAGTTTCATACTCGACTTTATTGCTGAAGGCTTTGAAGTTGAACCTAAGAGTGTACTCTAGATCGATGCCTTCTAGAGAGGTTGAGGCCCGCTCTACTTCCTTGTGCATTGGAAGCACCATCAACAAAGAGTTTCCATACGGGGACGTCGAGTACAAAAACCTACTTCTGTAAGAGACCTACTGGCTCAAGGGTTGAGGTGAACTCGACTATGAAGTCAGCCAGGACTTGGCCCACTTGACCAGTCAACCTAAAGACTCGGGCTTGTGTAAAACCAGCTTCGTCGACTAGTTGGTTGTAATCTCAATGGAATGAGCTTGGAAGTAAGGTCTTAACCTTCTCACTTTTGTCACCAATGCTAAAACTAACTTCTCCATCTTAGGATACCTCTCCTTTGCTCCTCTTCGAGCTTGATAGCAAAAATACACAGGCTATTGCCTCTTCTCTTGCTCCCTTATCAAGGCTATGTTGATTAAGAAATCCAGCACAACTAGGTATAGGGCAAGGACTTACCCTTATTTTGGACTGACCAGCACTAGAGAAGAGATTGGATAAGTTTTCAAGCCCTAGAAATCCTCCTCGCACTAGTTGTTCAATTAAAAAACTATTTTCAGGACCTTGAAGGACAGCTGGCATTTGTCTCTAGATCGTGAAACAAAACGATTAAAAGTTGTTATCCTCCCTCTGAGACACTATACCTCTTTGATGGTAGTAGGGGATTTCATGTCAATAACCTCTTTCACCTTCTTAGGATTTGCCTTGATCCCCCTTCTATTGACAATGAAGCCAAAGAACCTTTTAGTCGAGACCCCAAAGGCGCACTTAGCAGGGTTGAGATTCATCCCATATTTCCTAAGGATTTGGAATGATTCCTCAAAATGTTGGATGTGGAGCTATACCTCCAAAGATTTCACCAACATGTCTTCAATGTAGACCTCCATAGTTATCCTGTGTTTATCCATAAACATTATGTTCACTAGTTACTGATAAGTGGCTCCAACGTTCTTGAGCCCAAATGGTATGACCTGATACCATAAGGTTCCCTGCTCAGTCACGAACGATGTCTTCTCCTACTCATCAGGATACATCCTAATCTGGTTGTATCATGTGAAGTTGTCCATAAAGTTTAAAAGTTCATAACCTATTGTTGATTCGACTATGAGGACGATTCGGGGTAAAGGAAAACTATATTTTGGACAGGCTCGATTGAGATCAATGAAGTCGATGCAGAAACACCATTTTTCATTAGTTTTTTTTCAGAAGTACTAAATTGGTTAGCCACATACGGTAATCTACCTCCCTTATGGATTTGGCATGAAGAAGCTTTGATACCTCCTCATTGACATCCTTTTGCCTTTATAAGGCAAAGCTCCTTCTCTTCTGCTTCATAGGTTTGTAACTCGGATCCACACTGAACTTGTGGACGATTACCCTAGGATTGAGGCCTTGCATATCTTCTTATTCCCAAGTGAATATATCTGAGTTTCTTCTCAAAAATGCCATGAGCTTCTACTTGATGTCATCCAATAGTTTGGATCCCATAAAGACTAGGTGTTCAGGGTCCTCACCCATTTGTACGAGCTCTAGTTCCTCCAAGGGAGTTGGCCTTGTATCAACCTTGTACCTCATGTCCAGATCGTCCACTTGCATGGAATCAAGCTTCATGGATGATACATAGCATTCACTGGCCATCCATTAATCTCCTGCACAACCCTTACCCCATACTCGGTAGAGAACTTCATAACGAGATGGTAGGCAGTAGGAATGGCCTTAATTTATTTTGAGAACGGCCTCCCTAGGATAACGTTGTAAGTAGAAGGTGCATCCACAATGAGGAATTTTACAGTAGTAGTGGTTTGACATGGAAGGTACCCTAGAGTGAGCATGAGTGAATTGAGCCCAGGGGGAAAACTTTCTCGCCAGAAAATACAAGCTGGTGCATTTTAACTAGCTCAAGCTTCTCCTTGCCAATATCTAATTTCTCAAAGGCTCTTTAGAAGATGATATCAACAGAGCTTCTGTTATCCAAGAGCATGCGATGCACAATTTTATTTGCAATGCATAGTTTTATTTGCAATGATTGCCTTCACGACCAGAGGATCGTCATG